TGGATACAAATATTTTGTTACATTTATTGATTGCTTCTCTCGTGTTACTTGGTTATACCTGATGAAGAATAAGAGTGATGTGTTTGGGTGCTTCCAAAATTTTCATAAGACTGTTCAGACTCAATACGGAGCAGTGGTGAAAGTATTGAGGTCAGATAATGGGACAGAGTATACCAACAGAGCCCTTGAAGAATATTTGTCAGCTCAAGGAATACATCACCAGACAACCTGTCCATACACTCCAGCACAGAATGGGGTAGCGGAAAGGAAGAACAGACATCTTTTAGAGGTTGCTAGAAGCATGATGATCTCTATGAATGTCCCAGAGACATTATGGGGACAAGCAGTATTGACCGCAGCAGCGTTGATCAACAGAATGCCCTCGAGAGTGCTGGATTGGAAGTCTCCGTGTGAGATATTGAAAGGAGATAATGGTGGGATCCTTCCACTCAAAGTGTTTGGCTGTGTGTGTTTTGTGAAGGACAACAGGCCGTCTGTCGGGAAGCTTGCCCCTAGAGCTGTGAAGTGTATCTTTGTGGGATATTCTGCTACTCAGAAGGGATATGTTTGCTGGAGCCCGGTGGAAAAAAGGTTGTTTGTGAGCATGGATGTGCACTTTCGAGAACTCGAGCCATATTACACTCAGAAGGTAACTTCATCTGCTGGTAACTCGTCCAATACTAGAAGTATGGGGCGAGAGGAGGAGAATGGTGAGAGACCGGAGAACAATGTGGAGAAATCCATTTCTGTATCGATTCCTTGGGAGGGCGAATTGGTTGAGGAGGAGTTGGTTGAGGAGGAGCCGGAGAATCACGAAGAAAAGGAACAAGAGACAAGAGGTGTTAGGCCCACTGTTCAGGGGGAGCTACTAACCTATAGTAGGAAGGGCAAACAAATTGGAGAAACAGTACCTACAGTGCCACTAGTGCTGCCAAGTCTCTTGCCAAAGCCCACCCCGACTCCTGAAATACCTACACCACCACCAATTTCATCCCAAGGTGATAACATTCCTACTGATAACATTCCTCTCCCTACTCCTCCCACACCAATATCAGTACGGAGGACTACTCGCAGTAATGCGGGACATCCTCCCGATAGATATGGTTGGGATCTTGCCCAGTATGTATCATATTCTAGTATCCACCCTGCATATGGAGCATTCATTGCATCATTGGACTCTGTTACTGTACCTAACAATTGGCAGGTTGCTAAGAAGGACCCAAAATGGAAAGCGGCTATGCACGAGGAGTTAGGGGCTCTTGAGAAGAACCGCACTTGGGAGCTAGTAAAACTACCAGAAGGGAAGAGAGCAGTTGGATGCAAGTGGGTCTTCACTGTGAAGCAGAATCCAGATGGACAAGTTGAGCGCTACAAGGCTCGCCTGGTGGCAAAAGGGTATAGTCAGACATATGGCATCGATTATGATGAGACTTTTGCACCGGTGGCGAAGATGAGCACTGTTCGGACCTTAATCTCTCTGGCAGTAAATGGTGGATGGAAGCTACACCAACTAGATGTGAAGAATGCATTTCTTCATGGAGATCTAGTGGAGGAGGTATACATGGAGATACCACCAGGATTTGGTACAGATCAGACAGTGGGAAAGGTCTGCAGATTGAAGAAGTCTCTCTATGGTCTGAAGCAATCTCCCCGTGCTTGGTTCGACAGATTCAGAAGGGCTATGATTGGTATGGGATACCAACAGATCAACGCCGACCATACAGTGTTCTTTCGACGGAGTGGAGGCCACATTACTATGCTTGCGGTATATGTGGATGATATGATTATTACAGGGGATGATGAGAAGGAGATTGCCCAACTCAAAGTGAGACTGGGTAAGGAATTTGAGGTGAAAGATCTTGGCTTGCTTAGATACTTTCTTGGAATAGAGATAGCTCGAGGAGCGGAAGGGATCATCCTATCCCAGAGAAAGTATGCACTGGATCTTCTCAAAGAGACAGGAATGTTAGGGTGCAAACCTGCAACTACACCGATCGACCAGAGGTTCAAGCTAGGTGCTGAGGCTGGAGAACCAGTTGATCGTGACAGATATCAGAGGTTGGTGGGAAGGCTGATCTATTTGAGTCACACACGTCCTGATATCTCCTTTGCAGTAAGCGTGGTGAGTCGCTACATGCACGATCCGAGGAAGGGTCATATGGACGCTGTGTACCAGATTCTGAGATATTTAAAGAGTGCCCCCGGAAAGGGGCTGATATTCAGAAAGAATGGACATGTGAACATCGAGGGTTATTGCGACTCTGACTGGGCTAGCTGTGCTGATGACAGGAGGTCCACCTCAGGATATTGCATCTTTATAGGAGGTAACTTAGTCTCGTGGAAGAGCAAGAAGCAGTCAGTGGTGGCGAGATCGACAGCCGAGGCAGAGTATAGAGCTATGGCCTTAGGAGTTGCTGAGTTGCTATGGTTGAAGAGTATGCTGGTGGAGCTGAAGCTGGATCAAGAAGATAAGATGAAGTTATGGTGTGACAACAAGTCAGCTATAAGTATTGCCAATAACCCAGTGCAGCATGATAGAACCAAACACATCGAGATCGATAGGTTCTTCATCAAAGAGAAGTTGGATAGTGGACTACTGGAGCTAAGTCATGTTTCGACTAAGGACCAGGCAGCAGATTGTCTGACTAAAGGACTCAACTCAGTAGATATGATTAGAGGATGTGACAAGATGGGCTTAATAGATATCTTTCGCCCATCTTGAGGAGGAGTGTTGACATATTAGTATTATTAGGGACTTATTTGTAAGATTTGTAGGGGCCTATATAAAGCCCAAGAGATATCATAATGAATAAGGGTTTTTCATTTCTTCACATTACTTGTGTGGGCTTGGGTGGCATGGCCTCCCCCTCCCCTTCTAAGCTCGCCGATGTAGTAGCGAGATAGCATTGAAAATTAGAGGTCGTTTAACATTATTCAGATGGGTAGAGAGAGTTTGAAATTTATGATTTCTGAAAAGTGGTGTTGATACATTAATAATTAGAAAGATTTACAATTTTCCTCAATGATTTTTCCATATTTTGAAAAAAGTACATGATAGCATCATTATTGATACTATCAAATATATTTATCTCAATATATTTCAGTAAGCAATCATTGAGTCAATCATTACTCATTTTATTCCACAACTTGTTCATTTCATCTTCATTGCAGAAAGAGTTCTTTCCACAATTGTTGTAGCCATAGGTAGAGAATCAATGCCATATTCAAAAGAAAATACACCAAAAGATAGATCTTATTTAGTCTCCACCTTTTCTTCAAAGGTCACCTATCTCCTTCAAATTAGCAAACATTGCATCTCTATGCACATCAACAATATAATTGCCGACTAGAATATTAAGAGGCAAGATCTCAACACTAGTAGTCTCACATGGATAGAATGCAATATCAAGGTTGGGGTCGAGTTGTAGTCTTGAAACAAAGTGATGTCATGTGATACCACTCCACCTAAGGTGGATCCATCCCCGGGTAGAGGTGAACATGCTTACACTTATCCATCTTCAGTTATGAAGAAGATTGACTAGGACCCATAAATGTCAGAATAAGCATTTTTTGAGTGAAACTGCGAGTATACATATTCCATGTTCATTTATAAGAATGTAATAAAACAGTCCAAAAGTTTACAAGTATCACCGAGTATAAAAGTAGCATAGCTAAATTGAGGCAGTATAGGGAGAAAAGAAGAAAGATAAAATGACAAAATTATCAGCCGAATGAAGAACTAGATAGAGTTAGAATTCACTTTGTTTCCTCGCCTTTCACCATGCAACTACTTGTCCTCCATTTGCGAATCGGAATCTTCCCCGTGACACCTTATATCACATTCATCAGCAGTTGCGTTGCCTGCTACTCTGTGAACCGCATCTAGCTACTGAATCAACCTATGAACTCTTTATTTATACACACCTGTAATTTTGGAACACCATACTTGAGCATTAGAACCTTGAGGGTTTGCATAAGGATTATAAAATTGAGATCGTCCTACCATGAGACGAGTGCCGGTCTTCATCATTGTGGCTGTAACACTAGTAAGTCAACAAAGGAACTAGACTTGACATCCTTGGCTAAAGTATTGGAACCGTATTGAATCAAAAAGATTAATCATATTTGTGCATGAGTGCAAGCTTATATTACCACTTATCCATTTTTTCTCACTAAATTCAAGACTAAACCCACTCTCCATTGCTTTTTAGTCTTCTGGGTGAGAGTGTAAAGGTTAGTAGGGTTGAGGGTTTGTCACAAATAAAAGAAAGGCTAAAAACAAGAGGGAAGAATGAGAGGAAGAGAAGAACAAATAAAAGAAAATAAAAAAGAAAACCAAATCAAAATAAGAAGCAAATAAAAAGATGGAGGAAATCAAGTGAGAAGATTAGAAATCTAGGATTGAATCCAGTAGTTAATTTAAATTTAAGAATTACTCTCTTTTTACTCTCTTATTACTTAGAATTATTAAGCATAGAGTATCAAGTTACTAAAAATAAGTGTAACCTATCAAAACATAATCAAGCAATATTACTACTCATGAAAAGAAATGAACAATTAGGTAGTAACCCTAAAATTTAAAAAAAGCATAAACTATCAAACCATTTAAGATAAGTATTGCCTATCAAATTTTTTTCTATCAATTAGTTCTCTAGTTGATTATCCTAAGCATGATCATTTTAAGCACAAAAGAGAGCAATTAAAAAGCCAAAAGGAAATTAATCTAGTTTCATCTAATTCTAGAAATCCTAAAGAGATTAGCTACTCATAGTCTGCCATTGTTTTAGTGCTGTTTCATGATCTAAAGATTATTTCTTTTATGTCACTCCTAGATGAAATTAAATGTTTTTTCTAATTCTTAATGAAGAAATTTATAAGAGGTTTCTGTGCGTTATGTGTACGAGAATCTAGTACTTAACAGATCATACACATACAAAAGCACTTAGAAAATACTTACTCTTAATGCTTTGATTTTACAACGAACATCTTTTAATGTGCAGGAACTGGGAAAGAGAAGCCTGACTACTTGGCGACAGTGGATACTGACCCGAGCTCACCAACCTATTCTAAAGTTATTCATCGGTTGCCTGTGCCTCATATAGGTGACGAATTGCATCACTCTGGTTGGAATTCCTGCAGCTCTTGCCATGGTGACTCGTCAGCGTCCAGACGTTACCTAATCTTGCCTTCGTTGTTGTAAGTCCTTTCGTATCTGGAAGAGTTAGTTTTTTCTTATTCAAAGTGATCGGAGTCAATCGGACAATGTTAATAACCTAATTCCTTTTGTGTTGTATGTTACTAAATACAACAGTTAAGATGCTCCTTGACATTCTCAATGTGCTATCTTTTACTTTTTACTTTTGTCCCTTAGTTTACCTCTTTATATTTTAGTAATGTAATTTTCCCCCCTTGTTTTGCTTGATTCTCAGAATTTTGGAATGAATTCCACAATGTGTAATTCATCTGGAACTTATGAACTTTCTCAGTGCTAGTTTATGATTGCAACAGAAATAAAAGAAAGTAGACAAATAGAAATGTTGGAATTGGAAAGGAAAATTTGGATTCATTTCCTCCTTAACCGATTTTACTTTTGTTTAACTTTTTAACGGAAACAACTAGCAAAATAGGAGGTAGTTATTATTTTTAATTATTATCATACTATTCTTATTTGGTTGTTATATTAGAACCCAAATCTTTGTTAATTCTATACTAGACACCCAAATCTTCGTATTTCTAAATCAGACCGTAAATTGATTAAGTTGTTTTGAATAAGACGCCCAAATCTAAGCTGTTTTCAATAAGACCCCTATTTCGAGCAAATATGAAAAATGTGTATCTAATTTAGAAATATGAAGATCTGAGGGTCTAATATACAAGTAACAAAGATTTGGGTGTCTAATGTGACTACAAACCTATTTTATATTTGGGAAGGGGGTCCATTTTGCATCTTAGACCATATCTACATATGAAGTGGCTGAAATAACCTTCTTTTGTTGGATCGTATCGTCTTTTCACCTTGTCCTGATTATCTTACTATTATTAAATATATCTGTTATGCCGATAATTCTTTAGGTCTGGGCGTATATATGTCGTTGATACTGCAACGAGTCCAAGAGCTCCATCTTTGCATAAGGTGGTTGAGCCTGCAGATATTTTGCAGAAGACAGGACTTGCATATCCTCATACTTCTCATTGCCTTGCATCGGGTGACATTTTGGTGTCTTGCCTTGGAGATAAAGATGGAAATGCAGATGGCAATGGATTTCTCCTCCTTGATTCAGATTTCAAAGTGAAAGGGAGGTATATTTCTCTTACCTTCATGCAATTTCTAATTATGTCTTTTTCTTCCCCTGTTGAAGTTTATGTAATTTTCCATATATTTAACATGTATAAGTTTATTCATTTATCAAGGTTTAGCAAGAAACCAAAATTTAGTGCAATGTCCTTTTTTGTCTAGGAACAATATTAGGTTGAAAGATGTAGCTAATACCTTGTTTTATCTTCCACTCATGGGAAAGCAGTAACTTATCTTGAATGTTAGTTTATTTCTCAACATTCGGAACTACATAATGCTGCAGAATTATCTCAGGTTTGTAAATTTTTACCTCAATGATACCTCCATCACATTGATTAATTGTATTCATCAGTGACAATATATCGAAACTCGTAATATACTAACCCTCCTAAGCTTAGTTAAAAAAAATCATAATCATAGCCTTGTTTTCGTTCCTGTTTTTCACTCTTGCAACATGACATCCCGAAAACTTAAGTTACTTTTAAAATTTGACCTCTTATACTGTTGGATTAACTAATTGCATGTTTCTACTCTTATACAGTTGGATTATCTAATTGCATGTTTCTACTTGTTAGGTGGGAAAAACCAGGCCACAGCCCTCCTTTTGGGTATGATTTCTGGTATCAACCTCGTCATAAAACTATGATTAGCTCATCGTGGGGAGCTCCTGCAGCATTCACGAAAGGGTTCAATCTTCAGCATGTTTCAGACGGTCTATATGGAAGACACCTAAGTGTGTACAGTTGGCCTGATGGTGAACTAAAGCAGACAATGGACCTAGGCAACACAGGACTGTTACCTTTAGAAGTTAGTATTTGCTATAGCTTATGATCTACAATTGGAGAATTGACTGCTTATAAGATCATATTTTAAAGTTACATGGTATTTATGGTTTACAGATTAGGTTTCTGCATGACCCTTCGAAAGACACTGGCTTTGTGGGTTGTGCTTTGACCACCAACATGGTGAGATTTTTCAAGAACTCAGATGGGTCTTGGAGCCATGAGGTACATATTCGTTCCCATTTTTTCTGTGCTACTACAATGATGTTGAGTTGTAGACTCTTTGATGAAGTTAATACTGAATACTCGGAGCAACTCCACCAAAAATCCTGGGTTTAGGTATAAGGTAGCGTGGTGTGCAACCTAATCAGATCAATAATTGGGCATTCATCTGGTACTTTATAATTCTATGCCAATATCGTGTATGTAGACATCTTCCATGATATGCATTTTAAGATGTTAAAACTATTATTGAATTAAAGATGTGATGGCCATAGAAGCTGACATCTTTTAAAACCACTGCATTCTTTATTTGTAGTTAATATTTATTTTAGAAGAGGCTAGTTCAGTGAAAACAGTGATATATGATGAAATTCTAAGCAAAATAAATAGCAAAGGCTTGTACACAAATAATTGCAACTAAAATGCTTTGTTAATGTGTCTTTGGAGTTGGGGTGTAATACTATATTGTTGTATGCAACCAGTTTTGGGTAAATAGTAGTAGATAGGTTGGGGTTTCAAGTTGGAAGTCCCATGCTTTCCATTAAAAAAATGAAGGTACTGCAAACTTTTGAAGTCAATATTCTAATTTTCTTTTGTCTAGTAAGGGGATAATCACATATAACCAGAAATAAGTTTACCAAAATAAGTAGTATAGTTTTCTTCCTTTGGTTCTTTGGAATTGTGTATGAATCAGACAAGCTTCAAGGAACAGTAACTTATATAGATCATAAAAAAATTTCCTTTTCTTGAAACATATTTTATCATTTTGATAGGAATGGGTATGCTATTCAACTTTAAAAATTATAAATATCAAGAATTTTCGAGGTGATAAAATGGCTATCACGTATGTTGCATGGACAGTGGTGCGGGTGCGGACACAGACACGGGTGCGGATATGGGACACGACATAATAGTAAAAGTTAGTATACGGGGACACAACTATATACATACATATTAAAATTAATAATCTATATGACATCGATATTGTTTTTCATTCACATGTTATGAGAACTAAAATCGTTACAATTGTTATAGTTTCTTTTATCGATCAGATTATAAATTAAAAAATCACTCATATTTGAACTAGATACCCAAATGGCCCTTTAAATCATACTTATGAACGAGGCATATGCTAAAACTAACCTGTCCTAATGAGCTGCATACAAGGTGAAGTGCACAACATACGTTCAAGAAGCCTTATCACAAGTTTTTTGACCTAAAACACGTGTTACATAATTGTACACGTCTGAACAAATTTAAGTGTATATCCAAGACGTGTCCAAGGAGTGTTGGACACGGACATGGACACGGATACAAGAGCCTAGGTGAAGTGTCTTGGTGACCTAGGCTATCACAAAATTGTAATAACTACTCCTGGTTTTTCCGTTAATTGAATGATACTCTATTGCTGATAATGATCATGATATCTGACATTTAACATCAAATTATGCTCAGTATGGAGCATATGTAGGGGTGCAAAAATAAATATCTGTATCAGTATCATTTAGGATACAAATCTGATTACTGAATATCTATATGGTTATGGATACGAATATGTAATGAGATAACGAGATCCGGATCCATATCCGAAGTACCCAAATGCATGTTAATCATAGAGTTGTAATTGTTTTGGACGTTAGATTAGTGGATTTGAGGTTAATTTTGATGATCTACTGATCAAATCTTAGCTTTTAGTATACCACGAAGATATTAATCTCTTGTATCGTATAACCTATATTGTATCATATGACCTATATTCTTTTTCAACATTATTTGTTTTTCTCATATCAGTTTTATAACTGCATGCATTTTCTCTTAGTTGAAATGTATCTGTTGCCCATTTTGGAGGATATAGATATGAGTTTTCCTAATAGAGACATTCGTATTCACATATGTATCTGCATCCGTGATTAGTAAGCAAATACAGATGGTAAATATCATATCCGATCCGTTTGCACACCTAAGCATATGGCTCAAAGTTCAGCAGTTTGTCATTTCTCTAAAATTGCCTAATTGATGTATTAACCATTCAGAAAAACAATTTATTCAGGAAAAAAACATTCAAACATTCTTAATCCAGTACTTTTAGATTGTTAGTTCATTGTATCAGCAGTTTGTTGCTGCAGCAGTTATATTTTGATATGCTTCTAATACCCCATATTATTGGCCAATATTAAGTTGGTTGATGCCATGATTTAATTTAACAAGTTAAACCAAAGCGATAACAATTCATTTTATTTTACAACTAACTCTTAGGGATATGGGCTGAATAGGATGTTTATTTATAGGAAATAAGTCTGTGTCAAAATATTTGGCTTTTATTTGGCATGTGTCTGGAAAGTTCACAGTTTGATGCATATGTGCCAAATTCCAATGATTTTTCTGATCTATGAATCATTGCTACATTGGCCTTGTGACTATATTAGGTTGCAATATCAGTGCCCCCATTGAAGGTGAAGAACTGGATCCTTCCTGAAATGCCCGGGTTGATAACTGATTTTCTCATTTCTCTTGATGACCGGTTCTTGTACTTCGTGAATTGGCTTCATGGGGATATCAGACAGTACGACATTCAGGATCCTAGCAAGCCCGTGTTAACTGGGCAGGTTTGGGTGGGAGGACTCCTTCAGAAGGGTAGCAGTGTTGTTTATGTGACTGAAGATGGGAAGGAGTCACAGTTCGATGTTCCTGATGTTATGGTAATTTACTGTTCCTCTGTTAATTACGTTTTTGTGCTATTACTGTCACCATCATTAAGTATTTCTATAGTTTAATTTTAGAAAGTATTACCACTTCAAAGTGTCATTTAAAGTTTTTAAATGACTTCCAAAATCGTTCTGTCTACTTTTAAAAAGCAGATTTTGTACATCAGTCTGTTGATTAAATTCAAATATCTTTTTGCTCATCTTGGCTGCAAAGGAAAGCCATTATGCGGGCAAACAGAGAATTTTATATCCAGATAATGTTAGTTCCATTATTTTTAGAAGTTCTCTAACCCGTGTGAATGTCATTCAAACGTGTGTCAGTTAGAAATCATAGGAAACGATAGTTTCTCACAATATTTTTTTTTCTTCTATTTTCTTATGAGATTGGGAGTTGCGAAACAGAAGATCAGGCAAGGTCACAAGCAATCAGAAGCTTTTAGATAGTCTGATAATAATTTCAGCTATATGTCAGTGTTTAAGGCAAGTCAGTATATGTTTGAAGCCATAACTTAAATCCTCATAATCTTCATTATTATCATCATTTGAACCATCTTAATCAGATTGGATTGGTTATGGAGAGAAACTCTTAATGAGAGGGAGTGAAACTCTTTTTCCTTCTAATTAATGGCAAATCACAAGGTTTCCTAATTTTATAAGCCCAATGTTCACCAAGAGCCCAACGTTGCAAAACTCAACTGCTCCAGTCTTATATTATATGATGTATTGGTGTACCAACTCAATATTAGGTTCTGCTACGTCCTAATGTATTCATTATTTATCATGATTCGTTTGGTTAAACATAATATTTTCCAGTCTTATTAGAGTTTTACGTTTATAGGATTTCTACAGATCTCGTCTGTATATATTAAGGGTGTTATGATCTTTTCTTAACACATTTAGTGTTTTCTCAGGGCAACAAGCTAAGAGGAGGTCCACAGATGATCCAGTTGAGCTTAGATGGCAAGAGACTGTATGTAACCAATTCCCTCTTCAGTGCATGGGATAAGCAATTTTACCCGGATGTCATACAGCAAGGCTCCCATATGCTACAGATTGATGTTGACACAGAGAATGGAGGTCTGTCGTTGAATTCGAACTTCTTCGTGGATTTTGGGTCTGAACCCGATGGTCCATCTCTTGCTCATGAGATGCGATATCCAGGCGGTGATTGCACTTCTGATATATGGATTTGATTGGGATCATTATGTTAATGTGATATTGGATTTGAAAGCAGACAGAATAAAGCTGAATTCATGGTTTAAGAGTTTATTTATTTTAATAAGGATGCTTATTTTCATGCACAAAAAGCCTTCTGTTATTTTCTCGAGTTCTTTCTTCTACTTAATGCATAAAAGCTTTAGTGATGTGCAGTGATGAGTGACTACAAGATCCTCTCATCGTCCCACTCATTATATCTGAAACTTTATGCACTGTGTGACAAGAAAGGTCTCAAATAATATAATTGACGCTTCTTTTAGTTTTGGGTGTTTGGGGTTCCAGCAGGCTGACCCTACCCAACCTGTCATGGGTTATGACCCGGCCTGATTTGTAGTGCAGCGGGTCATATACACAGGTTATGGACTGGGCTGGTCCAGCTCTAGACCTAAATTTTAATTATTAGTTTTTAGTTTTTAATTAACCTTTTTTCATCTTGTAATTGTTATTTAAATTTAAATTAAAGGAAAGCTATTAACTTCCCTTAGGACGTAGGTCATCCTTCGAACTTCGAGCCACGTATATCTTCGTATTTGCGATGTTTTCTGTGTGATGTTTATTTTTGTACAATGTGTATGTATAGATATATATCATTTTAAATAAAGAGTTAAATAGAAAAATAATTTAAATATAATTTCTTGGATACTAATACAAAATTAATATAGTTTAGAAATTAAAAATAAAAAAATTAAAAAAAAGTTAACAAAACCCACTAGCTCATCCATGACCCATAGGCCTTGGGCCGGACTCGCCCCAGCCCACCCCTAGGCGGGTCTTGGGCAGAGCCGGGTCTGATCCCAGACCCGAGATCAAAGAAATAGGCTTGACCCACTCTGACCCGGGCGGATCCAAGTTAGACCTGACCCGGGCGGGCTCGAGTTAGACCTGGCCCAGCCTTGAACTCGACGGGCCGAGTCACGGGCCTAAACCGGCCTAGCCCATGCACACGCCTAGTTTGGGGAGTGGTTAGTCATCTTGAACATTTTCATGGGATAATTTGCTAAAGTGGAATAGATTTTTAAAAGTGAAATAATTGAAAATAATTTTTTTAAAGTAGGATATCTTGTGGGGTAATTTGTGCAATCAACAAGTTTATAATTTATGTTTTTTGATGATATAATTATCACTTATATATTTTGATATAATTATCACTTATATATTTAAACTTGTTGCTATTAATTAATAGTTATTTGTATAATGTTATAGTTACTGTGCAATAACTTTCAATAAGACTACAATATATTATTAATAACTGTTATAATAATTGTTAGTTTTTTATTTTTTGAATTATTATTATAATACAAGTCTAAAAAATAAATTTTTTTATGTTTTTCCCTTTTTGGCTCTTCCAAATCTCTGTCTTTCATATCTCAACTTCAATTATTTTTTATAAATTATGAAGATACTAATTTTTACTTTAAATTAATTTTAGAGATATGATATTCGGTAAAAAAATTAAAAGTCACATTGCATAGTCTGCGTCCGCACTTTGCCGCCTAGTCACCATGAAATAATTAATGCAATGTCATTCATCATGACCTTTTGTGTCAAAGCCTTAAAAAGCTCCTAGAACACATCATTTCTTCAACAGTCCTATCACTATGCAAAGGTGACTCGGACAATCAACTATCGGCACTTGTGACCATCGCATTTTTTTACACATTTACACCCTTATTTTCTATTTTATTTTAAATAAAATATTTGCTAATAAATGTTTTTATCTTAATTTGTAGGTTAATAAAGATTTAATGAATAAGAGCCCAAAAGAACTCAATTCCCTAAAATTTTCATTTTGTTGAAGTTTTTATTGAAGCCTAAGATCAAAACAAGCAAACCATAGAAATCCAAATAGTCTAAGAATTTCTACCAAATTTAGAATAGAATAAGTATCGATATGAGTATCGGTATCTATACCGATACTAGCATTGATATTAGTATCGATATAGGTGTCGATGCGCATTAAATAATTACATATTAAAGGCTAAAGTTATTTTATTTGGGGGATAAGATTGATAATAGGGCTAATATTGATTGATGTACTCTATAAATAGGGTTAAAGAGTGAGAGTTTGAGAGTGTGAAAAAAATTATAAATTATTTTTAGAGAGAAATACTTTTAATTATGTCTTCCAATTTGTAAACTTTTAAGTTTGCATAAATAAATTGTTTTCCTCTCTTTAAAATTACTTTTCTTCTTCTTCATTGATGAAGATGAAGATTTGCTTTCAAGGGACCAACCCATTGCAATATAAGTTTTATTTTTCTCTTTTATTTTCTTAATTTAAAAATTCATGTTTTATGATTTTATCTTATTTTTTATTTTTATGTTGGTAGATTATATTTATTTCATGCATTGTAGTGTAAGTTTACTTTCATGCTCTTTTATTATTTTGTTGTTTATTTTTCACGCTTTGTAGAATTTATTTTGTATTTTTTCTTTTGTAGTATATATTTACTTTTATGCTTTTTTATTTTCGTTAGTTAGATTTTTTTATGCTCATAGTTTAGATATTTATTTTCTTGTTTTTGTTCTTATTTTTGTAGTTAGTTTTTATTTTAGATATTTTTTTATGCTTTATAGTATAGATTTTATTTTCTTATTTTTATTTTTTAAAACATGCAACAAAATCTTGTAGGAGTTTTAGAATTGTATGAAACTAGTTTGATTTCTTTTATAATTTATGGATTTCTCTCTTTGTGCTTAAAATGATCATGTTTAGAATAATTAACTAGAGAACTAATTAGTAGAAAAAGAATTTAATAATCTATACTTATCTTGAGTGGTTTGAATTTAATAATCTATACTTATCTTGAGTGGTTTGATATGTTATGTTTAAGAATTCTAGAATTACTATTTAGTTGCTTGTTCTTTTCATGAATGAAAATTTACTTGGATGATAATTTGATAGGTCATGATTTCCTTTAATGGTTTGATAGTCTATGCTTAGCAAATCTAAAGTAAAACATGATAATAAGGGAGTAGTTTATAAATCCTAAATAAAATTAACTAGTGAATTCAATTCTATATTCCTATCTTCTTTACTTGATTTCTTCCTGTTAGGTCTCATGTTTATAAGCCTACCATCTAATCTAGTTTTGATGATTAACAAATAATTCCTAACATTATTCGTCAAGCGTTTGTATTTGCTTGTTAGGAATTCTACACAAAGATCCTATGCTAGATGTTGGTTGGACTTGCGCCTTCACGATGATATTCAAAGGAGGTTGGAAGGAAAATCGGAATGAACCCGTCGCAATTTAAGTCAAATATTCTATTGCACTTCATCCATGTTTTACCAAGATCGAGCTTAACATAGATCATTTGCTTGGGTATAGTAGTTTAGGAGATTTACTTCATGTGTCATACTTAAAAGCTCAAATATTACACACATACACGTTTTTGTTTTATAGCTTCCAAGTTTATTCGTATAAATATGAAACTAATAGTTATATATATACATACATATTAGTTTCATATTTATCATCTTTGTTTGGGAAAATAATGTGTTTACGTATTAAAGATTTGATTATACTATTTTATATACTTTCTAAAAGTCTATTAATCCATTTTACAAAATCTCAAGAATATGCAAGCTTGTTTGAGAAAATTTCATCAAAAATCAAGTGTTTTGAGATTTCGTATTTTGACTAATTTTGCAAAATGATAAGTTTTCATAAACGAGAAATGTTATTTGAAAAATTCCTTTTCTAACATGCCTGTTTTTATCAGAATAAATATTTCCCCAAGTTTCATAATTTTTAGAATTTATTTCCTATTTTTAAACACACATTGAAAATTAATTTTACTATTCAAAATAAGTTGTGCACGTTTTTCGGTCGACTGACTGTTCATATCAGTCGACCGATAAACTGCTTTGCAATGTCGATTTTTATTTCTGCTTAGTCGATTGATCCCTATCAGTCGACTGATCAACCTCATCAGTCGACTGATGATGTTCATCAGTCGACCGATATCGGCTAGTTTGCACAGTAACAGCTAGTTTTGAGTTGTTTTGTTTGGGAGGTTATATATAGCCTTCAAGTCTTGTTCTTTCCTCATGGATGTTTAAAAGTGAGTTTTATCAGTTTGTTTATAAAATTTTAAAGTGTGTTTTGGTTTTGGCAAAAGAGTTTACAAAATGAAGAGATCATTTCGGTTTTGAGCATCAATTTTCAAATCTCTACCTACCTTGTTCTTGGAGAAGTTTTCTAAACTCAAATCTCTAGCTAATCTATATTTTTTATTATCATATTTATTAAGCTAGATTTACATCAAGTTTAATTTTTGATTATTATTCATTGTTTACACACACACCCACTTGAGCTTAAGTTATATCACATATCATTTATTTTGGGTTGTGGGTATATTTCATTGAGAGAGCTTAATTTTTGTTCTTATTTATATTAGAGAACAAATCTTATATTTGCACTTTCATTGAGAGAACACGTTGTAGTACACAATGACACTTAGATGAGTGGTTGGGAGAAGAACATGATCAATTCCAAGAGGAGTGGCTTGGTTGTAAAAGCCTAGGGAGAGGTAGTAATTCTAAGTACTTGAGGAATGTGACATGGTCGGCCAACACTTAGAGGAGTGCATTGTGTGATTATCAACGTGTAGATTGTAAGCGTTGAAAATCGATTTGTGTAGTTATTTGAGATAGTGGAGAATCTCCTCGAGGGTGAGGAGCGGAGACGTAGGTCGAGGGTTGACCAAACTCCGTGATCATATTGCTTGTTTGTGTTTGGCATTAGCGCACTTATTCTTGTGTATATTTTCATATCGCCTATTGTCTCATGTTTATATCGCCTTTTGTTTAATTCCATATACTTGCATATATCTCTTGTATACATCATATTGTTGTCTCATGTTTATATCGCCCCTTGTTTAATTCCATATCCTTACATATATCACTTATATACATCATATTGCTAGGATATTGTTAGTAAGTTTTAATTTGGCATCGAAATCTGATTAGATTAGCAATTACCCTATTCAACCCCCCTAGGGTACTTTCACTTCCATCTTTTACTTGTTTTGATTTTCCTGTTTTTAATTGTTTTTTCTCTTCTTTATTTTGTTCTTTTCTATTTCTTTATTTTTTTCTCCTTATTTAGTCTTTATTTTCTTTTATTTGTTCACTCTCTTTCCTCGTTCTTGTTCTAGTTTTATTTTATTCATAAACAATCACTCAATCTCTATATCTTTACATTCTCACTCCTCTTTATTCACACGCACATCTAGAACCATTATTAGAATTTTTCCTACAAACCTTCCTCGTGGGATTAACATTGTAACTATATTATAACTTGATTATGCACTTGTAATCTTGATACTATTTTTACAATATATCACCATGTAAAGTAGGTTCTAAGTTAATACTGCACACACTTAGTTGATGTTACCTACGTGCCCCTGTAAACCCTTAATAAATAACGAAGATTTCCACCAAATGGAGGTATGTAATTTCATGCACAAAAAACCCTGAAGAGTACATTTTGTTTTCTTTTTATATTAACTAGAAACAATCATTCAATTGAGCGTTTGAGGGCATGCCAGAGAAAATAATATTTGGTGCCTTTGTTACTCCGTTATCTATGGAGCGACGAATATCACAAAGATACATAAAGGGAGAATCAACCATTAAAAGTAATTAAGGGAGACTAAAAATTAAGTTTAACCCTCCTAAATCACAAAAAATTAAGTTTAACCCTCCTAAATCACATATCAACTTCGCGATGTAAACACTATGCATTATTAGGTTCTTAAAGGACTACAAATGAAAATTGTAAGTTTCTTTCATTAAGAATAATAACATATGTAGCGAAAAAAGGGAGTCAAAAAATAACAAAGTAACAAAATATGTTGTTGTTTTTTTTTGTGAAACTTATAAATTTTATGCATTAGGCTTCCCTATCTATACTACATATAAAAGAGGATTGACTTGTTAAAACTTTTGATTTCCCTTTTTATTCTTTTAAGTTTGATAATTCTCAAATATGTCATTAGTTGTAATTAATCATTCGATAATTATATATAGCCTCTTATTAATAATGCATTTCCTCACTTTTTCAAAACCTTCAGTTACACTATTATTTTCTTAGTTAATTATATTATTTAATAGAAAATTTAAAATTTTTATCCCTAATTTATCTTCACATAATATCTAAAATTCTAGAAAAATTAAGAATAAAAAAAATTCATTAGGTTTTTTGCCTTATGCCTTTGGGTTTCACCTCTTATGGAGAACTACCTGTTACCTTTCACTGTTATTAGCTTTTTAAAAGCATGATAATAATATAAAAATAAGACGTATTTATTGTAATTTCAGTAGCATTAATAGTATAATGATTTTAATAGTATATTTTAAATTAATAAATAACACAGTAATTTAATAATTATACAATTTAGTAAATTTTTATTTACTAATATTATAATAAAATAATTATTAAATTAAAATATAGTTACTAGTAGTATTATAATTATGCTATGTGTGATATTATTATAATTAAAAAGAAAAGAAATTATTTAATGTATTATAATTATTTAATAAATTATGAATAAATTATAATAATTATCCAAACTATAGTAATTAATCAATATAGTTCTTTATACATAAATTTTTATCGTGCAATTTATTAATTTAAATAAAATTATAATTGTTTAGAATTTATATTGCTATATAAGTCATTTTATTATTTTACAAAAAAAAAACATAAAAAAATATTCTTGTGCAAAGCACGCACATTATACTAATATAATAAAAAAACTGGTGAGGATTAAAAAACTTTGAATGAAAAGAGGAAAGTGTCCTTTATTCCACAAAAGAGGAGGGTAATTTTGTAATTTTACATGAATATTAAATGCTTCACATGTCCCTATGCACTATTTCACTCGTACACAATTAAATTCAAAACAGTACTTAGGGGCTGTTTGGTTGCCTCTTTTAGAGGCTGAATCCCTATCAAAACTGACAAAAACTGTCAGTTTTAACAGAGAATCTTGCAAAAACATCTTTTTTCGAGGCGTTTTTGGGTGATTTCTTGTCAAAACTGATAGTTCTTGTCAGTTTTGACAGGGATTCAGCCTCTAAAAATGACAACCAAACAACCCCTTAGCACATCCCCCTCTAACAAACACAACTAAAATTTTACAAGTTAACATTTGTAAGATACTTAAGTCAACGAAGTTTTTATGCAACTTAAGCGTTACAAATACAAAATAAAAATAAAGTAAACTAAAGCAATTATAATTATTAAATGCAGAATCTCAAATTTTCAAGGGAAATTTTTGTATAACAAATCCAAGATAAGATTTTCCCTAATCAATGTACAGCTTTCACGAACTAGTATAACGACAGACAAGAAATGATAATGTGTATATCTAATTACAACATAAACCTTTAAATGTTAGAAATTTTAAGAAAAGAAAATGACGAACTTGAAGTATAAATTAAATACTATTAAATTAGTTCAAATTAAAAATAAATACTACTATTTAGCAAGTGCATTTGCTTGTACAAAATTGGTAGTATACTTGAAAAGCAGTAAACATATTCATTCCAAAGAAATTTAGCGAGTTATCATTGCTTACGTAATGAATACATATTAGATACCAATCAATTGCCTAACAAGTTAGCACCAAAGCTCTCTGATGACTAAAACATTTTGGTTAATTAGATTATTTACTTGAGAAAAAGAAATGGAGTAATCTAGTTGGTAATCTAATTCAGTGACCTAGTATGTAAATGTATAAATCGAAGAGCTAATAGGTTTCCCACGATTAAAAAATTTCTAAAAATTTGTTGAGTGTAAGTGCTTGACCTACTCAAAAGAGCTGTTTGGTTCATCTATTTTATCGAAAAGTTTTGGGAAAACACCTAATAATAACATTATTGTGAATAATATATTTCTATAGATTTTTATAAACTGTGTTTGGTTCCAAAAAAAATTATAGAAATATTTTCTATAAAGTAGGAAAAATTGTACTATTTTAGAGAAATCAACTTCCTTCCTAAATGGGAGGAAATTGCAATGAAATCTGATATTTATGTTAAATATTAATAAAGTACATCCGTATTACTTTTCTATAAAATTTAAAATTGCCTACTTCTTTTATGAGTATCACTTTTTCATAAAAAATCTTATCTAACCAAACAAAAGAAAAAGATAACAACTTATTTTCTATAAAGTTAAGAATTCAATTTCTATTTCGAATCGAACAAGGAAATAACAACAAACAAGAAAAATAGTATTTTTTGAGTTCTATAAACTTCTCCTATAAAATTTTATAGAAATACAAGAAAATTAATTTTTTAACACTTTTCCTTTCATTTTTTTTATAGAAATCGAACCAAACAACCCCAAAGTCGCAACAAGAAATAGACCTGACCTGACATGCCTACAGCTTGATTTTTGTAGAATCGAACCTCAATCTTTCATCTTGAATGACGTACGCATCATATGTAAAAACATATATAGACAAATGAATAAAAAAAATATGGGAATATTTTACTTAAGGGTCTGTTAAAGGAAAACCATTAAAAAAATCCTCTGACACAAAAAAAGTGTCAGTTCTGCCAAAACAAAAAAGGAAAATACGAAGGAAATCATGTTCCACCTCAGCAAAAATGTAAAAACACATTCCTCTCTAAAAACCCTGATTTCGCCAGAAAAGTCAATAAAACTGAATAAAAAATTTATCTTTCTTTTTCCCATGATCGTACAAAGAAAGAGGGTAATATTATAATCTCAAAGAATTTTTTTTGCTAACGCTCGATGGGAGCTTGAGACCATTTGGTTGAACTTCATCGTTACCAGCTTGCAGATAGGGGAATTAGGGTTTGGAGAGGAAAATGAGAAGAGAAAAGTTAGTGTTAGGGTTTACTCTTGAGGGTGGACAGATCTCTGCCATCGACGCCTATGGAGTAGGGTTTTGATGAGAAAAGGGTACACTAAAATGGCAGGTTTTAGATGATGGTTTGTGATTGGGATGACTTAAATGAAGAAATAACGACTACTGATTGATTTTGTGTGTTTGGATTAGAAGTGTTATGGGCCTGCATTAGGGATAACTACAACATTGGTATCATATTTTTTTAATTAAAAAAATAAAAATAATAAGAGAATCTATTCATACATTAACTACTTTCTTTCTTTTTATGTTGAACCAAAATATAAAAAATAGTAAAAAAATACTCATATCCCATATATTTTGATGAAACAAACACAAAAAATATTTTTACATGAAAATAAATAAAACACAAACAAGTAAAGGAAACATATTTCCTCGTAATTATGGAAAACAACGAACATGCCCTTTAAGCTAACAATTAAAAGGTAACATTTAGGGGTGGAAGTGAACCAAATAATTAATATAAATAGTTCAGTTATTATTCGTAGAGGTATTCGATCAAGTTCGATTCAACAGTTCATTTAGAACCAAACAAATAATTTTTCGAAATCGGTTTATAAATGAATAGAATTTAACGAAGTGTAAGTTCGATTCGGGAGTTCATTAACTATTTGATTAGTTTTGCATTTTAGTCCTATTCATTGAACTTATTGCAAATTTACTTGTGCAGATTTTTATTTACAATATCACCCTTATAAATACGTAAGAGTGGATTCTAGACCTAGGGTTTTCACTTTTTCTCCTGTTTCAGCCTCCTCCTTCAGATCTGACTCCAAAGACCGGCTCCTCTCTCCTCTCTCTCCTTCTTCAGATCTGCTCGGGTTTTCACTGTTCTCCCTCGAAGCTGGTCGTTCACTCGTCCCTCGAATCTCGTCGCCGACTCCTCCCTCGAAGCTCGTCATCCCTTGAAGCTCGTCGTCCCTCGAAGATCGTAGTTTACTCCTCCCTCGACTGTCCCTCTCGAGTCATCAAAATGTAAGTTGGTTGAAGCTTAAAGTCACCATTATTTTTGATTTTTAATTTATACTAATTGCTAAAGGTTACTTCTTTATGCCTTTTACAGATAATTTTGCACGAGATCTGATCTCATCCCTTGCGGATCTGTAATTTCAATCGGCTTCATTTAATCGTCAGAGGTGAACTCTCATCTTTCTTTACTACCTAATAATCCGGCTCAATGTTTTTCTCTGTGGCAAGTGACGTAAATCATTAGTGATACCATTAGTTATCAATGATGCTCTGATGGTCATTTGATTTGCTCGACCTTAACAATAGGAGTCATTAGTATGCTTAAGTGACTGGGCAGTTAGGCAAGTGACATAAATCATTGTGTGCTACTAGTATCTTTAGAAGTTCTGAACTTGAGAGAAGTTGTGTGCTTTGTATGATAAATAAAGCTACAACTTTGTCCTCAGATAACAAATATCATATTGATGAATGTGGATTTCGTGATTGGGCGGTTAGGTGCGCTTCAACTGAGTATTCCTTAAGAAAGTAATCGTATAAGCTGAAGGTACAATCGAAGTAAGCATTGGGATCTCTTTTTGAAGATGTATCACCAAAGAAGAAGCACCTGAAAGGAAAATAAGAAATCTCAATGACAAAGAAACAGATGGGACTGAATGAAAATCGAAGAGACATTTATGAATTACTTATTAAAGATGTCACCCTGTAAAAATAAACTCAACTAATGGAGATCAGCTTCCACATAAAATCCATAAATTATGTCCTATGATAAAAAAGAACTTATAACCAGAGACAATGTCATTTGGGAAAGATTTGGAGCAAAAAACTCTCATTGGAACTTGATGTTTAGGTATCCATTATTAGGGACCACTTTGTTAAAATTGGTCAACATCATTTAATGTTAAAAATCGTTCATGACCTATGATTTTATGATGGGAAATCAAGATATTTGGGTCTTGCTTTAGTGTGAAATTAAGTATTTTTATTCTGTTTTGATTTTTATGCAATTGAAAACGATTTTTTCATAACATGATGCATGTTGATTTATGTACTATTCGAGTCGAATTCGAATAGTAATGTGATACTGACCTACTGGGTAAGTTGGTAACTTGGTAATTTCTATGTTGTTGTAGATTCCAAATATATTGATTTTCGAATAATCGACTAATAGATATCGAATAGTTGATGAATAACTTGATATCAAAACCATGAAATATTGTTGATCGAATGTTCGCGAATAGTTACCGAACACGTACACAACTAAATGAAGTGAATTCGAATTCTGAATATTATTCGAGTCGTATTCGAACACGAATAGTGCTATTTGAGCCGAATTCGAATAAGACGCTATTTGTTCAGATTCGATTCATTTCCACCCCTAGTAACATTTTATATCGGTATCAGAGTTCACGTGTCTCGGGCCCCACGAAATGAATTCTTTGTTATCTCACTTTTTCCCAAGTCAAATCAACGGTAACTTTCTTTTACTGCCTAGGGCCCAATACATCCTGAAGAGTGGATTTGATTTTTTGGATCTATTAACTTAGATGCACACGGCCGAATAACCTCGAGCCTAGTCCTCGTTATGGGGGTATTTAGGCTCACTGATTTTATTCATTATTGTAAATGAACCCACAGTCCCATATAAGACTCGTATGAGAGTGAAATATCAGAAATTACGAAAGAAAAATGGTGCATTTAGCATTTATATATTTTTCTTGATATAATTAGCATGTACGTTATGTATAAAGAAAATATGTTTTAATATTATGAAATTGTTTTCATTTCACAATATATATAAATAAAAATAGTTGGTGAGAAAAATAATTTATTTAGAAAAATTGATTAATAATAGACACAATTTTAATTGCAATTTGCATGTTCAAAATTATTTTCACAGAAAAACTAGATAGCCAACATACATTTGAGCATGATACAATGCTAGCATATGATAAAATAACTGATAAATTCACAAATTAGAAATGGCACTTAGGGTTATTGCTTTCTTTGGCTACCATAATGGACTTGTAGTAGATAATAGATACCATTCTATTTCCTAGCAAGTTTGTAGCAAGACTCTTAATAATTAAATCCTTTTGGTTAATTTGATCTTATACTTTCGTTACTAGATAGAAACTTAAGTAATTTATACGTGGTCAGTTACTAAGTGCTGAAATTAAGTCAAAGAGCTAATATTTCATGCAATTCAAAATTGTCGAGCTTATTGTTGAATGTTAACAGGATAAGTTCTTAACCTCGTAGTTAGTTAATATGAAATGGACTAAACGCACCTCTTAACTTGATTTCATTGTTATGAATAAATTAGATCTAAACTTAACCCTTCATCTCTGTAAAAATTACATATTATAAAATAATAATCCGTTGCGCGCTGTGTGTGACAGCCTCCTCGAGCTTCACAAAATGTTTCTTTCACGCTTCGTCCAAAGCCTCACGACATTAAAAATGCTTTAAACTTTTGAGCTCATATAGCCTCGGGCCCAGCCTTCCATCAACTCAATCCCAAGTCACTTCTTTTTTACTTTATGAACAGTCACTTTTTTGCCAATTCATTATGAATAGTCACTTCTTTGCCAATAGTCACTTCCTTGCCAATTCATTAATGTGTGAGCGGGTGCGTTGCATTTGTGGTTTTAATTTTTGGATCCTGCCTATTTCATTCCCCCAAAATTAGGGGTGTTTGTTTCAACATTTTTTTGGGATATGGGGTGGATTACAAATTCTAGGATGAAAATGTAGGGTTTTTTGAGTTTATGGATTTCATAACCTTTGTTTGATTCAAAATAAATTTGGGGATATTGAATACCCAAATAATAAAAAACTAATATATTATAGCATTTGTGAAATCCCCCCTTTAAAAGAGGATTTATGCAAGATTCAAATTCTAAAATTTGTAATGTTCCAATTTGAGTTTGAAACAAACAAAATACAAATAATAGGATTACATATCCCAAAATATTAATGAAATAAATAACATTTTAGAAATCCAAACCCATGTCTTGGCTCATGTTGTCTCGAGCTAACCGTAGTTACGTTTTTTTTGCTAGTTGCATTCAGCTGGTTCGATTAGAGATTTCGGATTGGATATCAACCCAAAAATCCTAAGCCCGGTCCACAATTAGAGACCTCTTAAATTGGGTATTTAAAGATATAGCCTACTGCATTACCTTATTTGCTTTTCTTTTCTCCTCCCGTCTATGTCTACGTCTGTGCGTTCTTCAACTTTGCCTTCTGCCCCCTCTCCATACTTTCTCTTCATCCCTTCATTATCTACCGTCATTCTCTGTTTGTTGGTTTCATTTTTTGCAATCTTTGCCATGGGTTTGCGTTACTATGTCTGTCTTAGCAAAATTAAAATTTTAAGCAAAATTAATCTCTACATTTTTGTACAACTGTGTAAATTATAAATGATCAATATCATTCTTTTGATGCTTAAAAATTTTAGATGTTATCAAGCTCTACTATAACTTTTTTTAAAGTTTACCTCTTTATTTCCTATACTATTTTTGAAATAACTAAAGCAATATTGTTTTCAGCGAGCATCTAGAAAAAGAAAACTTCTATGTATATTTTAGTACATTCTTTTTTCTTCTTTAAAAAATCAATTTAATTTAACATCATTGTGTTTCCAAATTATTTTACATCATTTTTTTAAAGATCTGACCATAAGTGTACATTATTTGCATTCCTATTAACAGCCCAAAAATAATTAATCTTTTTAAATTTTTTTAACAATATTATTTTTTAAAAATTTCCCCTGCATATGTTACAAAAATAAGGCCAAGAGTTTTTGAACCCAAACAAACCCCGAAGAAACCTACGTCCCAAAGAAAAGTCACTCAGCCCGAAGAAACCTACGGCCTAAAGAAAATTCGCCCATTGTACAAACCCGCAACTTAATCTATTCAGTGGATTTATCAAAACCCTTGCTTAAAATCTTTCAAATTTCTCATAAGAAATGAGCGAGAATCAAAATCTAGAGCCTCTTCAAATAATCTTGGCCTCTAAGAGTTCGAATCCCACGACAATGGATAATATGTAAGTTTTTTTTATCTAGAACCCTAGATTTATTCAGAACCCTCGATTTATGCATTCATAATTTCGTAAGGTGTTTTGTTTACAGCGTACAATCCCATGGAGTTAGGGTTTTGGGTTCGAATATGCATTAGGTTTATGAATTTCATAGTATCTCTTTAAGATTTTGTGATCCTTTGTAACATGCTTACGGTAACTTTATGGTTTCGTGGTTTTCTTGTGTTTTTCTGTGATTTCCTTGCATTTCCATTTAGTTAGAATGTTAATAACCCTTATGGAATAATATTTCAAGATGTTTGAATTGTATTTTCATTATGTTTTTTTCAGTTGAATTGCTTATTTTCTTTAGGATTTTGTGATCCTTTAGAAAAGGAAAAACCTTAATGGATTTCTGTTACGATCGTTGAGTATGTGTAATTTGGGTTTGATAATGAAAATATTTGTCAATTCTCCTGTTTAAATCACTAAGGTTGTTCATCTGAACTTTGTCTGAGTTAAATTATATTAAGTTGGAAGTTCTATGTTCATGATTGTGTACTTCTTATAATGCTTGAAGTAGAGTAATACAATTGGCTAATTGGATTTGCTATTTGTTTTATCATTTTGGACTGTTGAGATAGAAGATATAAACTGTCTTTTCTTGTAATATGTTATCGTACTTCACTATCTTGTTGTGTTTTAATTCAATTGCTAAGTAATTTTATTACTTGGTTTAGGAAATGTTTACTGTTGTTTACTTAAGCTAATTTCTAACATGTTTAGTAAAAATGCATATTAATACATTTAATTATTTTTATGTCAGAGTTGAAGAAACTAATACGAGAAGGTGTGCGGTTTTGTAATGTAAAATGTCTATTGAGCTGCCCTTTTATTGGTAAATTCTTTCCAGATCTAGCAAAAGATCCGCACACCATGAAGATTTTAAGTTCTATGAAGAAAGTTAATGGTCCACTTGCTGTTGAAGTAAATTATGCTATTACTTGAAAACTGATGAAAGAGCTAACTTTGTTGAATCATTTAATTGACTTGCTGAAAAGTGGGCCCACCATCCCATGGAGGGGCATGTTTTGAGTTTAAGAAAGTTGAAGATGAATATTCAAAGCTGCAATTTGAGCATAATTGACATACAAACTAATAACTTGCTCAAAATGGGTGGAGAAATAATCCATTCTCAAAAGTTCAATCAAATATCCAATGCTGTTGTACTTTATGAACTCCTTAAAAAACTCTTTTAAACATGTGATTGCAAGTTGACTTTCCACAAATGTTTCCACCAACAAAGGCTTCAGCAAAGCTTCTATAGTAAGTCTTGAAAGCTTCTTAGAAAAAGAAATGGCTGCAAAAACAACAAATCTAGTTCGATCCAGCTCTCCAAACAAACCAAGTGCTTCCTGAAAATTTAGGACAAATGCATCCAAGGAATCTCCCATGGATGGCCACTTTCTAATCATCCTTTGAAGAAACAGCACCATGTTCAAAATAGATGTGGTTTTAGTATCACAACCTAAAACAAAAAAAAGAATGTTCCAAAGGGCCCGAGCTGGTATTGCATCCCAAAAACAAAACCTGTAAAAAAACATAAAGTTGTAACAACACTGTATAAACCTAGCTATACTTCAGAGATTTTGCCGTTAAGAGGCAATACTTTGCAATTTACCTCAATAAAAGTATCACCATTGTCAGCAAGAGGACGTAGACCAGTCTCGAGGTCAATAACTACATCATTCTACACATAAATAAGCAAATATATATAAATTATAACACAACAAGTAACAAGGCTTTAAAAGACATTGCACTATGATCTACAAATAAAAAAGAGCATTTCATATTAAGTACCAAATTCCCTTTATTACGAACAAATAATTGCACCAAATCAACAACATATTTAGTGTCATCAAACGAGCGACGCACGCACACACACATCAAATGAGCAATTATCGAGAAACCTTAATTATGAAATGTGTGTGCACGCGCGTTTATATTCTGATGTGTGTGTGTGCGCGCGCACGTCGCTCGTTTGATGAGACCAAATATGTTGTTGATTTTGTGCAATTATTTGTTCGTAATAAAGAGAATTTGGTACTTAATATGAAATGCTCTTTTTTATTTGTAGATCATAGTGCAATGTCTTTTAAAGCATTGTTACTTGTTGTGTTATAATTTATAAATATTTGCTTATTTATGTTTAGGATGATGTGGCTATTGATCACGAGACTGGTCTACTTCCTCTTGCTGACAATGGTGATACTTTTATTGAGGTAAATTGCAAAGAATTGCCTCTTAACGGAAAAATCTTTGAAGTATAGCTAGGTTTATACAGTGTTGTTACAACTTTATGTTTTTCTTACAGGTTTTGTTTTTGGGATGCAATACCAGCCCGGGCCCTTTGGAACATTCTTTTTTTGTTTTAGGTTGTGATCCTAAAAGCACATCTATTTTGAATATGGTGCTGTTTCTTCAAAGGATGATTAGAAAGTGGTCATCCTTGGAAGATTCCTTGGACGCATTTGTCCTAAATTTTCAGGAAGCACTTGGTTTGTTTGGAGAGCTGGATCGAACTAGATTTGCTATTTTTGCAGCCATTTCTTTTTCTAAGAAGCTTTCATGACTTACTATAGGAGCTTTGTTGAAGCCTTTGTTGGTGGAAACGTTTGTGGAAAGTCAACTTGCAATCACATTTTCGAAAGAGTTTTTTAAGGAGTTTATGAAGTACAATAGCATTGGATATTTGATTGAACTTTTGAGAATGAATTATTTCTTCACCCATTTTGAGTAAGTTCTTAGTTCGTATGCAATTGGCTTTATGGTTGTCACTTTTGCTCCTCATGTTTTGTAGTTCTTCAGCAATGTTGAATATGAAGATCTGGTCACCCAGATGAGGCTTTGTCTTTTGAAGGACGAGTTATTGAAGCTGCAACCAACTGAACTTTCTACCAAGTTGGCTGAGGTGAGAGAGATGGTTCAGCCACACCCAGTGAGCTAGGTTCTTCCATTTATAGTTGAAGTAATTCTTTGTCCGGAGGAGCTGTCTTCACTTGCTGTCGATAAGCGGGAAAAGTTTGTCAATACCAAGGTACTAAAGATAATTCGTACTTTTTTTATGAGTCAATATGGATGATTTTATTTCATTCACTAGTTGAATGTTATAGTAGTTAAATCAGAGTTTCATAAGAATTAAGTTACATCAAAATAAGAATAATTACTAATTTTCTAACTATTTATTGCTGTCGTAATCCAATTTGCCATTAAGGATAACCGTAAAAATTGCATTCTTTATACCTCTCTTAACAACAATATGGTCTCTTGTTTGTTTAAGTAATTATCTTGGAACTCCTTTTACATCAAAGATATTAAAGAGTTAACGTTATAACTTTGCCTTAGATCTCTTACCTGATCTGATTAGGAACTCCAATAACGTAGTTCCAACGACATGATTTCCAACTAAAATTAGCCATTCCTTCACTGCATTCCATGCTTGCATAGAGTATGGACACTATAGTATGTACACTGGTTCTCTTAAAAATCTTGAGAATATAAAACATGAGTTTGAAGATAGTATTTCCATAATGGAAAGTTTGTCTTAAAGTGAGCTATATAGATTGGATGGCCCACGGTAGGACAACATTTGGGAAATGAAAGCGAATCCCACAATATGATGCAATCTAACAATAGTATTTCAAGACTGAGGATACTTTGGCATGTAAAATGGAGAGTGAAGATTATACCTTTCGCAGCAAGCCTTAGTCTTAGCAATAATGACATTTGATTCTTCAAAATGGCAAACATCATATTTTCTTCAGTTTAAATAACTGTTTTTATAATTGAGAATCATTACTTTTAGATTGTACTTCCCATTTATTACTCTGCAAATGGGAGCCATGTATCCTGACAGTTTGTACTTGCAGGTAAAAGCTTCTACTTAGAGACAGTTTGTGATGATGAAGAAGCTTTTCAGCTAGAACTTATTAAATCCGTTCAAAACTTTTGCCTTCAGATAAACTTTGAATCATGCTTTTTCTTATGATTCTTGAAACTTTGAATCAACAAGGTATTCTTGCTGCAAAAGTTATTATAAGCTGGTTTGACTTGCAAAGCGGAGATTTGGCGATGTAAGTTGTTTTAGATTCTGCTTGTTCCTAATGATATTTACTTGGAAGTCTGATCCTTCAATTTCTACATGTATTTCGGCAGGGTGGGATGTGTGGATGCAATGCGAAGCTTTATCAATTGTCTTCAGGCAATTGGAGAGCATTGTTTATACTGTTTGAAATTGTGATAATACTGCTGTTTTTTAGTAGTGGCAGTTTTGCTCACTCTTTGATCTTTGTGTGGTGAAGTGCACCTTGCAGTGATTACATTGGCATATACTGTGGTACTCTTATGAAACAGGCTTATACTGTTACACTCTATTCTGTTATGATGTCCAACAATGTTATGGAGTCTGTCGATACCAATTTGATTTGAGTTTTATGTTTTAAGGTGGATGTGTTAACAATTTTACTTTTAACTGTTTGAATCTGTGATGATGCTTCTGTCTTTTATCCCTGGCAATGGTCATTATTCCTTTTAGTGTTAATCATTTGGTGAGGAAGTTGTTCCTTGCTGTTAGAAAGTTGGTATACGTACTTGTGCAATTGCGGTAGTGATACAAAATGGGGGGGGGTTGATTTTAAAGTTTCAATGCGAATTCGATGTTGATTATGTTGTAAGCTGTTTGAGTTTTTGATGATGCTGCGAGTAGTGGCGGTGGTGATCGTCTTTTTCTGTCACTGTGTATTGAGAATGGTCCTTGCAGGTTACCGTCGGCATATACTATCAGTGGGCATGCTGCTTAGGAAAAATTCAATTAGAACAGATTATTTATGATATGCAACGATGAGAATTCAAATCCAGCAGCCTGTATGTTTTGCATCTCTGGCTGATATTCAATAGTAGGCTCGGTGCAATGATGAAGGATATAAGATTTTATAAATTTTGCTGCGTTCTGCCACTACACTAATACAGTATAGTAACATGTGACTGTCCATCTTCATTCAGCACAGTTTGGAGCAAAGACAAAGTCAAACTGCATATGCATAGAGAAACACTGGAGAAGAAAAAAACTGCGAGCGCAGAGGAAAAATCAACAAATGAGAAAGCCTTTCTGTTAAAAAAGAATGATAACAGAATTCCTGTACGGAAACTCAGTCCAACCTATTATGTTTCCATTCATTTTATAAACATGAAACATGGACGTCTTTAGGGGGGGGGAAAAAAAGTCTCTCCAAGTTGTTTGCAAGTTCTGAAACTCTCAGCACCGGTAATAAGTCACCTACTGATTTGACCAACTATTTTTGGTAGACAGTTTTCTCTACCAAAAGTGGATCTTTGGGAGCATTAACTGTTGTGATCTTGTTAAAAGCCTTGAAGAACATCAACAACTGCTAGTGGAAACCCTATTCCGCAAATAATTTTCCTTTATAACATGCAACATCTCAAAATTTGATCGGTTCCCTGCTCTCTATGTCGATCCATTTATTATCCCCAACTCAGCAGATTGCTAGTTTCCGTTGACCTTATAATACAATAGACAGAAATAGCAAAACATGCTTGGTTTTGAACTGGTGCTCTGGGGCTCTCTGTCGGAATGACTTTTTGCATGTAGATTGATCGGTATATAAAACATTGACTGTAACTTATGGCTAGATGTTGTGGAAGCTTCAATTTCGTCTTTGAGTATGGATTAAGAAGCTCAATCTTCAATTTGTCATCCAAGGTCACCAACTAACCATTAGAAGCTCCACAAATCCGTCGACCATTAAGTTCAAGGAGATTAATGCTATGTAAGAAATTTGCGGAGAAACCACAGAAATTTCTAGTGTGGGTTTTTTTACTTGATAGGGAGCATAGGGTGTGGTGGTTGTCATGTACATGGACAGAAGTATGTAAGTTCAGATCACGATGAAGACTAAACTTTTAAGCAATTAGCATCCAAATATCTTGTGGAAGATTGGTCCAGTCACCCATTATTGATCGTGAGTATTATACATGTTTAGTTTTTTTACTCAGAAATCCAAAAAACCAGACATCTTACTGTGCAATTTAGTAGTAAGAAATCAAAAGATGAAAAATGGCTTCGGAAACTTAGTTCTTAAAGCTTCTTTATTGAAAGTTTCTAGTAGTGAGGATTCAAATGTTTTACTTCTATGATTTGACTAAGCCAAAGCATGCTTGCGTGAATGAGCTCCGGGGTTGTAATTTTCAAAATTTGTTTCATAAGCTTGATGTACGGATCTCCTTTCATTGCAAGTCCTGCATTATTTTGGTGCAGGGTCGTGGTTCTTTGGAGTTGCCTGTGATTATTTTGGTGCAGGGTCTGATTCAGATGGAATGGTGATTGTACGAAAACGAGCATAGACCACTTGAAATTTGAAAATATTCGTTAATAATGAGCAAAGTTGACCCGCGCGTTGCTGCAGTATTTGTTTGATGAAATCGAAAATTAATGGTTAAGTATTTTGTGTAGAAAATTCTTTTTTAATTTGTGGATAAAAATATTTTCAAGAGTTGCAATATATGTAAATTAGTGTGAATGAACAAAAAAAATGTTTAAACATTTGGTTAAAAAAAGTTTAGCTTGTCAACAAAAATATTTTCAAGTTTTGTATCGTAGATAGACTAGTGCAAATTTTTTTTTGAAACATAATGGTTTAAGCATTAGGACAATTCTAATGGCTTTGAGTCTGAACCAAAAGTTGAGGAGAAGTATATTGTCTTTATTTTGTTTGATAATGAAACTATAGGTACATGATAGCTTGTGGCTTTTAAATTTGATTTTTTTTTTCCGGCGAGGGACCTTTAAAAAGTTGGAACGTATGATTACTTGGCTTTGGGAAGAAGGTGGAATAGTTCGAAACTATGATGATACTTTCCCAATAGAACTTCATGTTTAGGTCTCAGAGAGTGCTGATATTTCTGCCTGTTATGTAATATTTAGGACCGTACGTAGTATTTTGGGGAAGCATAATAACTAAAACTACGGTGGCAGTATAAAAATCCTTGTTTCCAATGTAACTTTTAGTACCGACGGTGCTTTGCACAAGTAATATAACTACAACTATGGTGGAAAGAATAATGAACCTTTGTTTCCAATGTGAAATAGCTCGGTATGTGATCTGAATGATTCTGTTAGATGCCTGCTTTTCTATCAGTGTTTTGTTTGTGGCTGGAATGAATCTTTTGAAAGTGTTAAAAAAAAATTATTGGCCGACATGATACTTCTTCTTTTTACCCCCTCCAACTGATATTGCAAGGGAAGTAGTCCCTTTTGCATCTACAGTCAAGTTGCTTAACTGATCAAATTTGCATGTATATACTTGTGTGACTATAATTGTTAGTTTTCTAAAGGTAGCACTTTTCGTCATTTATTGGGCGATATGGTTTTTTATTATTGTTTGTTATGATAATTCATTTCGATTTATCTCAACGACCTTGTAAGGGAAGTTGTCCCTTTAGTGACTGGTCGTATTGGTGAGTTGATCAAATTGGCAAATATGATATCATATCACATCATATTATACTATTTATAAAAGTAGTGAGTTTGGGAAAAAAAAAATTCTTTAGTCAATATTACCCTAACCTTTTTAGATACAAGATTTGACATGAAACTTGATTAAACAACAATTATGGAAAAGTTTTTTGAATCACAATTAAAAAAATAGTTGGTATATCTTATCAGATTTTATAAAATATGTTTCATCTAATTGCAATATCAATTAGAGATATTATGAAATTCAACTACGAATGTGAGTTTTAGAAAGACTTTTTCTAGCTAATATTACCCTTAACCCTTTTAGAGATTATATTCTAATATATTCTAATTTTATTCTAAGTAAAAATATATATTCAAATATTTTACAGATAAAATTGTTAACCAAAATTCGACATGAAAAATGATCAAACAAAGGTTAAGGAAAAATCTTTTGATCACAATTAGAAAGATAGTTGGTATATCTTGTTGGATTTTATACGATATCTATTTAATTATAACATCAATTAGAGATATCATGAAATTTAATGGCCATATGCTATCCTCATTTATATAATAAAAAGAATGCTCTTTGGGGCTGTTTGGTTCGTTTCCTTGATATAGAGAAATGCAATTCCATGTAAAAAAACACAAGTCTTGAGTTTTCCAAACTTTTTCAAGAAATAGATTGTTTTGCTTTGGTTCGCACATAAAAAATGGTGGGAAACCAATGTATTTATTTTTCTTGTGTTTGGTTCGCATAGAAAAAAATGAAAACTTTTGTAAACAAAGCAAAGAAGGAAAAAAATCTGACGTGGCAGAGTTTTCATCAATTTCACTTGGTTGGGGAAGGAAATCGGAGAGGGAAAAAAAATCTTAGTTGGCAGCGATTTCAGCAGAGTTTTCCCTCTTCCATTCGAGCGAACCAAAGCGGCACAAAGAAATGGATGGAAACAAAAAAGCTAACGTGGAGGGCTAAAAATCTGACGTGGAGGGGTTTTCTGAGTTTTCTACCCCTTATAATAGCGAACCAAACAACCCCTTTACATCAAAACCACCTTTACTTTTATCAAAATTGATACTTACCACCTTTAATTTTTTTGATGTAAACTTCATTTACTTGCTAACATGTTTACAATGTAACACCTAATCCAAATTTTAGCCTAAAAATACATGAAATGGCCATTTTACCTTCATCATTTTCTTATTTTTTTCATCTCCTTCCTCACAAACCTTAACCCTAACCCTAGCATCCTCATCCTCCTCTTCTCCTTGTCTTCCCTCTCCCTCTTCCCTCAACTCCCTTCCCCCTCTCTCTCGTCCTCCCTCTTCCTCCTCGACCTCCCACTCACCCATTCCTTCCCAAGCGGGAACTAGGCTTACATTTAGGGTTTGGGGGAGGAGGCAGCCATGTGTTAAGGTTAGGATTTTGGGGAAGGTGGCAGCCATAGGTTAGGTTTAGGGTTTTAAGCGAGGTGGCGGCCATAGGTTAGGGTTATAGTTAGGGTTTGCAGAAGAGGAGGATGGGGGAGGCTAGGGTTAGGGCTAGGGTTTGGAAAAAAGAAGATGAGGGTAAAATGTGACATTGCAAATATGTTAGCAAGTAAATGTGGTTTATATTAGAAAAAACTTTAAAGGTGCTGAGTATCAATTTGGGTAAAAGTAAAGATGGTTTTCAAATTTCTCGTATGTTCCTTAATCATATTAGAAGATGACATGTTCCTAAAAATTCTCATTAAATGAAAGCTATTCATATTCGTAATTTAGAAATTTCTTTCCATTAAAAAAGGTAGAAATTTCTAATAATCACATCTCTATTTATTCTAAATAAATTATAACTAGCTATATTTAAAAGATCCAAAAAAATGTTATGTGTCCCTCCTTAATAATTTTAAAAAGAAAATTTTTAAAAAAATCCCATAATTTTAGTATTGAGCGCTAAAAAAATATTTTATTTTTTGTACTTAACCTCTATAATGGCATTATCCCAAAAATTTGTACCGACAAAATT